TTGGTCATTAACTTTATAGTGTCTTTGTTTCCTTTTTTTTGTTTTTATTTTGGCTTTGTTTGGCTTAGCGTTATGAGTTAGCGTTAACATTTTGAAAATGCTATCTGACGGTAGCCTTTAGAGTTAGCATTTTTAAAGTTAATCTATACTGTCAAAATTTTATCAAAACGCTAACGCTAATTGAAAACGCTCTTCCCAAACAAGGTCTTTAATTTGTTCACTTTGTTTCCTTAGCTTTTTCATAATTTTTTAAAGTTTCTTCTAGAAAATAGTTTCAAAAATTTAATTTTTATATTGATATAAAAATAAATTAAATAAAAATGTTATCAAAAAAGAAAATTATATCTTTTTTTATTTTTAATACTTTCTACGAAATAGTAAAAAAGGAATGTTGAGGATTTTCTAGGGAAAAATTTTTGGCTTTATTTTTCAATTTTTTTATTTAACCCAGTCTTTTCGTTTCGGGAAATTTTTTTATTTCATTTATTTTTATATCATACAAACAATTTTGAGTTTTTTTATACAAATTTATAGAAGAAATTTAAAAAAAACATTTAAAAAAAGAGTAACAAAAGAAAAAGAATAACAAAGAAATCAAAAAGTGAGAGACCCAAGAGTTATTACCAAAATAAATAGGAAAAAAATGTACTTATTAACATTTATGGATGAAATATTGGACAGAATGCTCTCTCCACTTCTAGTTATCACTACAAAATGTAAGTACCTTTGTTCTCTTTTGAAAATAAAAGGACATATGAGTTATTTCGATAAAACTTGCACAAATAGAAACCCTCCTAGATTCTTTTCCCCTTTGTTCTAAAACAGTCAACAGGATTAAATTATTTAGATACTCTGTAATAATTGAGGAGATTCACCTAGATAATAATGAACTTAAATGTGATAAATTCCACAGATTCAGTTAATTACCACCAAATGGGTCCCAGAAGAGGATTGACCCCACGGAAATGCGAGTCCAAAGCAGCAAGCAAAGCGAGAGAGGGGAATTAAATGCAACAAGTCTTCTTTCATTTTTCCAGTGCTTCTTCTCGCATCCATTCCATTGATAAGCCCTCCACTCTGTCTTTTCCATCTTAGCTTCGATTCCACCCAAAGAGATCACATTTGATTTGGTTCTCGTCCCATTAGTTCAACGCATTTCTTGAAGAAGAAATTGAAAAAGATTGGATTTTTATCCCGAATCTCAATCTGGGCTTTCTTGTTGTGTGCTGTAACAGTAACTATTCTCGCCTTTATCCGTCGGATATTTCTGTACTATTATTACTCACTGAGTGGTTTTCATTTTCTTATAATGTCTTGCTCCACTGGGCAGCCATTTCCCATTTCCAATTTCCTGCACATGGAGTTGATGTTCCACTGTTTATTATAGCTTGTTTTTTTTGTTTTTTGTTTCTGCACACTGCCTGTTTGAATCGAGAGAAAAGTGTGACTGGGTTTAGGGTCTTTATCGTTTTGTTGTTGGAGATTTGGGATTTGTGAATTCTGGGAAATCAAATCTGAGGAGGAGCAGGAATAGGATGTTGGGCTCAGGGGTGAATCTGATTACCACAATCATTGGGTTTGGGATGAGTGCAACTTTCATAGTATTTGTGTGTACTAGGTTGATTTGTGGGAGGATTCGCCGGAGGCAAATGTTTGAGATTGAATCAAGGCTTGATCTTGATCAACTGGTATATTTCTCTTCCATGCTTTTTACTTCAATCTCTATATGGTGTTTTCCTTCTTCCTTAAACTGGTTTGTGCTTAGTCACTTGATTGTCAATGCTGATGATCTCTAAGATCCTGTTGTCCCCTTTTTGTTTTTGAAGTGTCCGGAATTCATTGTCTACTTACCATAGTTAGCAAACTAACTATTATATGAATTATTGGAAATATGCCCTCTAAAGATCATATTAGTATTGTTTCCATCAATGAATGTCAAACTAATTTCAATGATATATTTTTATAATTTTAGCCTCATTCCTTAAATTTAAAATAATATATGAAAATGGACAGTAAAAACCAAATTGAGGGAGTATTTATGTCCAACAAACACGTTGTATTAGAAATCGAAGAGCATATGGAAGTACACGTTTTTATGAAGAAATATGAAGGAAAGTAGTGAGCAAATGATCAAACAAATCTTGATAATGGGAGTAATATCTGGGTGTCTCATGTTGCCTTTTTATATAGGTCCGGGTATTTATTATACTCCGTATAACTAAGATCGACCGTTGGTCCTTCAACTTTATATGTTGTGCACGATTGGTCCTTCAAGTTTCAAAAGTCCATAAATAGTCCTTCAACTTTATGAGTTCAGCACCATTGGTCCTTCAAGTTTCAAAAGTCCATAAGTAGTCCTTCAGGTACACGTCAGACCTCCAGATGAAGTCCTTTTGACAGTAAATATTAAAAGTTAAACGAAATACTAGTTTCATATAATACGAGTAAATTCTACTAGGTACGACTATTCCGTATTATATGGAGCTAGTATTCCATTTAGCTTTTAACATTTATTGTCAAAAGGACCTCATCTGGAAGGCTGACGTGTACTTGAAGGACTATTTTTGCACTTTTAAAACTTGAAGGACCAATCGTGCATAACTCATAAAGTTGAAGGACTATTTATGGACTTTTAAAACTTGAAGGACCAATTGTGCACAATTGATAAAGTTGAAGGACCAATGGTGGAGTTTAGCCATTTTTAAAAAATTTAATTTTTTTAATGTTGGTATTCTTGAGGCATGACATAATATTTGCATACACAAATGTTTGATCTTACAGCCAGAGCATCGGAATAGTGGTCTCGACCCAGGTGTGGTTGCTGCAATTCCCTCCCTCAAGTTCCACCCGGACGCTTTTAGCCCTTCCGAAGACACACAGTAAGTGGCTTACAAATTTCTCATTCTATGTGTGATGTGTGATACCCATTCTTTCTTTTATTAACTGGTATTATCACCAACCACTAAGGTAGCCTTTGGCAAGTCATAATGCAATATAATGGAATAAATCCATAGTAGAAATGTCTGTTACAGGTTGATTCCACTACTTTTCACACTGAATGTCAATATGGTATCAAATTTGGAATCTATATGTTATAATGAGAGTCAATATATTAAGTAGAGACATATGGGTGGTAATAGGGCTATGTGTTAGACTAACAAAGTCGATCGAATCCAATCTTTTAGTGTGGTTTGCATTGCACAGGTGTATCATATGCCTTGCAGAGTATCAAGAAAAAGAAGATTTGAGAGTTATGCCCGATTGTGGGCATACGTTTCACCTCTCTTGCATCGATACATGGCTCAAGAAACAGTCAACTTGCCCGGTTTGCCGCTTTTCTGTACAGGAATCTTTTGAAAGAAAACAGATGGTGGGTCCCGTCCAATCCTTCGACAGTTCACGGATCTCCATGGGACAGTCCAGACAGTTTCTGCTACCTGCAACTGCCGAGCGTTCACAGGACGACGCAAGAAGTAACGACAGAGGTACTGATGAACCTGATGTTGCTATAGAAATCGAGTCTTTTGCGGGTCCCGCAGAAGTAACACCAAGAACATGAGCAGAGGAGAAAAGCACTCCCCTTTGCATTCTTTGTTTTTTCCCTCACAATAATTTTCTTGTTGGGATATGGACTTTGTGGCCTCAACAGTGAGCTGAGATGTCAAAATGGGCATAAACTTTCCTGTAAATATTTTCTGCTCTGTATTAATTAGCCCATCTCAATCTGTTTTTGGCAGTCTATTCATGTTTCTAGAGGGGTTCCATACTTGTGGTAAGGGCATCCTATTCCTTAATGGTTGAAAGTTGAAACTCAAAAGCCAAAAGGGCTTTTAAACCCCACTTTAGAAAGAAAAAAAAAACAGATTTTTTTTAGTGTCAAATCATTTAAAAGTAAAACCTCACATTTCCTCTATTTATAAAGCTCTTTAAAAGCATGGGATTTACTACATCTTTGCTGGCATATTTCCTAGTAAAAGCTATGATTTGCATGACAGGAGTCTTGGGCTGCTTATTATTCTTAGATAGTCAATGCAGAGATTGTACTCTCTCATGGTAAAATGTGACCATGACCTGACCAAATCTAAGGAATTCCAACTTTACTAAAAATGCAAGTTGCCAATGGGTAAAGAATGTAAATCTAGAAGTCCAAGCAATAAACTATTTGGGATCAATCACATCAAATGCAAACATGGCTACACCATCCTAGCAACAAAGAAGAGACTGGAGGGAGAATCATCATCTATTTGCCATCATCATCGCCTTCCTCCGTCTCTCGGCTTCCTTCTCGGCGACCAATACATAGAACTCTGCTTCAAGCATATCAGCCACATCTCTTGGATCACTAAGACAAAAAATAAAATCGTAAATGTAAAACAAATATCAAGTATATTAATCGTTTGTATAATCGATTATATTTTTATAACATTCGGAATGGTTCATAATTTTAAACAAACATCAAAAGTATACTTTTAACAATTTCATAGCACTCCGTAGGTAATAATATGGAATACAAAATATAGAAGAAATATCGAAACAACAAAAGATGAAATTTTCTTTCAAAAAAAAACAAAGATGAAATTTGGAGAGAAGATAACATTGTACGGTAATAGATTTGATTCTCCATCTTCTTTGGCCTTGTTTTGCGTCGGAATTAGAGATTAACGTTAGCATTTTGAAAAGACTATCTGACAATAGCTTTTAGCGTTGGCGTTTTTCAAATCAATCTATACTGTTAATATTTTATCTAAAGCACCCACGCTAATTGAAAACATTCTTCCCAAAATAAGGTCTCTGTTTCTTACTTTTCACATCAAATTGTAGTTGAAATTTCAACCTTTAGGGTATTTTCTCACATACTCCCTCCATGTCTAAAACATTATCACATTTTAATTTTTTTGGTCAAACAGTAACACCCTTTGACCACAAATTAATTACGGAGTATAGTCTAAAGTAATTAAATATTACGGAGTATAAAAATTTGATAATTCAAAACTATATTTAAACTGAACTCAATTTTACTAAATTTACAATATAACTAAATATACATTTTCTATAATTCGTTCTCAAAAGATGCCACAGTTTGACTAAAAAAATCAAACTGTGCCAATCTTTAAGGACCGGAGGGACTATCATATTATTAATCTCAAAGTATTCTTCTCATTTCAACGTGAAATTAGATGACACCCCTCTCTCGGTAGCATAAAAAATGAGTGATTCACTTGAGTTGCAGTTGATCACAAAAAAAAGGTCATAATATTGACACTAAAATTCCATAGTTTGACACCAGCAACATGAATGAAGAATCACATAAAACCCTGGTCAAGAACAAAGAGAATGGAGGGAAGAATCATCTTTTCGTCGTAGCCTTGCTTCGTCTTTCGGCTTCCTTCTCAGCAACCAATACATAGAACTCTGCACCCAGCATATCGGCCACATCTATCTTCAACGACTCACTCAAGACGACTGTCTCCAATAGCACTTCCACGGTTATCGTAAACCCTAAATCCGACAACACTCTAATGGCATTCGCTATCATGCATATGTAAACCCTGATATGCCGAGGAGTCGTATACCTTTCCTCTTCATCTTCTTCTTCTTCGTCGAGGAATGAAGGAGTGCTAGATTTGGTGTTGCTAAGTAACTGATCTTTCGGCGTGTCAGCTTTTACATCAACATGTTCCCCAACCCAAATGAACCCGTTGCAGCCAAGTATCAGGTCAATTCCATACTGGTCTAGATGATGGAAATGCTGTTTCCGCTTCTTCACTAGATAGGGAGAAACTTTGAGCAGCTGACCCCTTTCAAGCTGCAAAGCATGTTCAATTGTGTCAATAAAGCATCTTGATACTATAATTTAACTTGAATAATATTCCAAAAATGAACTATTTTCAAAAATGTTGAAGCTAATTGTCTTATAAAAATTCATGCCTGATTTTTCTCTTATCGTGGAACTATGTGTATATTTTTTTTCTTGATGGACACTTCAATAGAAAACTTATTCAAATAATGTAATATACGGAGCAATAATTAATTTTTGAAATATCTCAGGTTCTGCTGCATATTCAAGATTTTTCACTATCTCTACTTTTTATGTCTCTATATTGACCTTTAATAAATGAAATTTAACCATGTTGTGCCAATTTAGTGTAGTTGAACTCACGATGGTAAGTGTACAGTGCTAACAAAAAAAATGTAACAAAATGAGGGTGGGAGGGGAGGGGCCGCCGAGGGGGTAAGAAAAATTCCAAAATAAACAAACAAGCAAACCTTTCCATACTTCTCGCTTCTAGCTTGCAGGTGCAGACTGCCATCACGCTGGAACCCACGAACTTCAGCCTGCACATCCCTCCAACTTTATAATGAGAATGAAAAACTAGAGAACAAATTCCGTGAGCACTGTTTGGCCAAACAGTGTAAAGTTGCATTTATATATTACTATTAGCACGAGTGTTTAGACCATCTTATAATAAGTTTTTTGGGAAGATTTAATATGATATTGAAGAGCTTGTGAACTCGGGAGCCGTTTTTCAACCCATTTGCGGGTGGGGTGGGGGAGGGGTGGGGGGTGTACAACTATACCCCAATAAAAACATGGAGGCTATTTCCATCAGATCCTTGATGCAATGTTGGGTTTATAAGCCAAAACTACACAGCAAGTAAAGAATTTAAGGGATGCTTAACATGCCACTTGATGTAGTTCACTATTTATCCAATGTTAAAATGTCGTCAAAATAACTCTTTTAACTCTATTGGCAATGGATGCACTTAGAAACCATCTTAGAGCTCCTAAAAAAGAAGTCGGGAATCCTTACACAAACTACATCATTCTCCTCGAAGAAACTTCTCATGTTTAGCTCATCGACTGCAGTTCGCCGTCTCTGAAACAAAATGAGGCCAGCATTTCAGTGTTTTCCGAATCAACAGGTACTGAGTTTTTTGTTTATAAGGGTAAATAAGAATGCTTGATGTTTGGTTTTGCTAAAAACATAAGTAATAGGAGACAAATACCTGAATGCCATCTGGCAAATTCATAGAGGAAAGCATCAGCAATGCATCTTGGCTAGAGTTTATATCCAACCTCCATCGCTTTTGAGCAACCTTACATACAGAAATCGAGTGAGTACATTAAATTTAGAATGTAATGCATAGGGTGTGTTTGTGTGCCTGCAAAATAAAGATCTAAAATGTGATTTTGGAGCCACAAAAACACAATGTATAGACCAAACATGTGTAGGTAGATCTTAATAAAAAACATTTAAAATGCATGAAAGAGAAAGTCCTAATAACCTCAACCACTCGCCCCACGATAATGTCACCATTTTCTGGCTTGTACCTACAGTTGCAATCATCATCAGTCACAACGAATTCTTTTTCATAATCATCTTATTAAGAGCACAAACCTGGCTCTCAAAGACCTCACACAAACAAGTTTGTTAACTCGTTCGAGAACTCCACATACAATTGCACCAATTTGGGAATCCATCTCAAGCGTCCCATGTCCCCTTCATACAAAAATACATTTTACAACCAACAATGAGAACATAACAAAACCTTAACCCAACAATGAATTTTACGAAATATACTAAAAATAATTTCCATATACAAAGCCAATATGAACATTATGACTGCACATGTACAGAGAGATCATACATAAGTTACATATCTAAACATAAGCATGTTTCGCCTGAAAGCCAATTGGGAATTTTAAAGCACGAAGTATATATACATACTTGAGAACACCATCTTCACCATCCATAGGAATGATATCAGAAACCGTTACATAGGCATTGGAGTTGGTTTTTGATGATAGTGACTCCAACAGCTCCATTGCTCTCTCCATCCTTATCTTCTGTGTTTTGTTGAAAGACATCTGCAGACCCCTCATCTCTAAGTTTGTATTATTGGGGTGAAAATCTAAACACAATAACATAGGTTAAGCTGACTGTAACAGTAACCATAGTAAAGCATAGGCTCTCAAATAAAAAAACAGCACCCGTGCAAAACTTGCTAACAAATTCAATGTAATCAAATTGGGCACTAATAACTTCTTCTACATCTATGCTATATCTATCCCTATGGACAATAGTGCAGCTTCTTTTGCATACTAAAACTGACGAAGTTTAATGGTAGGCTCTCAAGTAAGAAACATCATACATAGCAAATTCATTGCTAAAGTGTATCTCCCCGACTAACAATATTCATATTTATTGAAGTTTATCCCCACCTAGCAAAAGAAGAGGTTAAACCATCTTATTCTCACAGACACACCCACACACACACACACAATTGAAAATAATACAATTATCTATTAAAACACGATAATGCACATAAATGACATAAGTGAATAAATTAACAAAAAATTATAATAAAGAAGCACTATCATCTCCACTAAAAACAGTAAAACACAAACATAAAACAACAACAACAAAACCAAGTAAAACACACTGAAAACTATGGTATGGGGGAGGGTGCTGAATGCAAAAAATTACACTCAAGTGGGGAGGTTGTTGAATAGGAAACTAAACCTTACCCCTCCTAGAGCACAACAGTACGGACAAAGGATGCTAAATCATATAAATAATACTCCATCCATCCCACTTGATTCCGTACACTTTCTTTTTTTGTTTGAACCATTTCATTCTTTACATTTCTTTTTTTCGTTTACTTATTTCACATCAAACCAATATCTCATCCCCAAATTTAAATCATCCCTCTTTTTTTCATTCTACTTTATACCCATACTATAACTTCAAATTCACTATTCTCTTTTTTACTTTTTGGTCACATAAAGTGTCACGTTTTTCCTCATTAAACAACGTGAAATCTTGTATGTCTCAGTAACCAAGTGGGACGGAGGGAGTAATAATAATCATCATTAATGTTACACAATTTCTTTAAAAAAACATAAAATGAACTCAAATAAACATATGCTATGGCTCTGAGATTCGCACCAATTGCCGGCCCGAAGAAAAAACAGGCCCCGTGCAAAAACAAAAAATCAACCTCTATTGACTATCATATCTTATAAAAGTAAAATTTAAAAAACTTTCATAATCATTCTAAATAAAAATTAAATTTCATAAAACTTTTAGCAATACCTATTTTAGATTTTGAAACAATTAGCAATAAAAACTTTTAAAAGAGTAAAAATTTTAAAAACCTTATTTTTTATCAAATTATAATTCATTAATCATTCTAATTAAAAAATTAAATCTCATTAAACTATAAACTATTCAAGTATAGAATAATAAAACATAGATGGCACGTTTAAAAATTTAAAAGACAAATAAAATTAGGAATTTGATCATTAAAATCAATAAATTATATGTTCAATACCTGAAGACCGAAGTCAATGCAGAAGTCCTGGACGGCGTAGTGGTGAGGCGGGCAGCCGGAGGCAGTCGAGATGAGGCGACTCTTCTTCTTCCTTCGACTTTTGGTCTTCCGCGGTTCCCTTCCCTGGTTCCGTTCTTACGTTTGCGGCTGCTCAAGAGCTTTTTGGCCATTTTATTTGGGCCTCTTATTATATACCATACACACTACTATTTATTAAAATATATTTGGGCCCTATTTTTTTTGGGCCCTGTGCGGCTGAACAACCTGCACAGGCACAAGGCCACCCTGGCACCAAAAAAAAACTGAGATTGAAACGAGGTTAAGAAATAGTTAGAACTCAGGGTAAAAAAATGCGCATGAATTCTTTGAAATTAGGTCAGCCCAGGCCCAATTTGGGGAAAAATTATCGACACCGACCAACCCGGACTTAGGAGTGTGGACCAAATTCATACCATCAAGCTCAAATTTTTTTTACGGAGTATTAAAATCAAAATTACTAAAAATAAAAACATTAAATATATATTTCATTAACTTTAAAATTAAAAATTACATTGTCATAATGCGGAAAAAAAATAAGAGTAATAGTTGATGGAAAAAATATACAAGTGCTTGATTAACAAAATATAACTACTAGATTAAAAAAAATCAAAATCACCGCCGAAGTTGTCGGCCGCACTTCCATGCTACTTATATCTAGTTTTATTATTTATTTTTAGAACAGCTACGTGCTCCAAAGGTGGCAAATGATCAACGCTCTTTTAGCTCATTACGTTCACGCTCCAACCAAAATGCCTCATCGGCTGCTTTACTTTTTCAGTTTTCAGACGAATATTTTCCAACTGTACTTGGTTAAAGTCGCCTATGGTTAAAATGATATTGTCGATAGTTGATCCTTCAGGTCCGGGCACCATCAACGATAATGCCTTTTCGTATTATCCCTCATAATGGATCTTGTCGACACCATCAACTATACTTTTTCAGAATATCGTCGTCATCACCCAACAACACAGAGGTCCAACGAGTGTCGAACGCCCTGGGGCTACTATATTCCCCAGGCTACGACATCAAAAAATCCATTTGTCCCGGGAGACCCCGCTCGGCACCAGAGCCCATTTCAGGTGCCCAGTTAATATCCATCACGCTTTCATATGTGGGATATGGCTATTATATTATGCTTGGTACTTTGATAACACCGATCTTAAAACATCATAGCCATCCGCCCCGCGTTGGTGGAGTTGTCATGTATATACTAACGAACTTGTTGACTTTTGCATTTAAGTCATAATATTTGAGGGAGATGGCGTCGACGCGGCAATAACGCTTCCTCCCAATCAAGCACGTGAGGGTGTTTAAATATTAGATCGAAAAAATTAAACAAATAAAAAAAGAGTCGTTGCAACGGCTAAAATGAGGGGAGGGGGACACGTGGTTGTTGTGATGGCCACCACATCCATCACAATCCGTTTGGGGCGGGATGTGTTCCCTCCCGATCAGGCGTACATGTGGTGCCATGTGTGCCATCATGATGCCCATCAACGCCCCATGCCGCATAACCTTATCAATGAGCAAAAGGACGAGTCTTTGTGACAACTCATAAATTGTTACTCGATATTATAAAGTATTTAATACAGGATTCATCAAGTTTTAAACAAGTAAAATTTGGTTCAAACTACTCGAAATCTTGTTTAAAAAAAGATTTTTTGAGCCCAAATTGTCTTTTTTGAATCGGTCTTAGTCGAGTTTAGTCCTTATTTTATACTCCCTCCGGTCCTAAAAACATTTATTATTTTGACTTTTTGGTCAAATAGTGATACTCTTTGATTATAAATTAAACATAATCCAAACAAAAAAATGATATAAAAAGTTGATTTATCAAAACTATATCTTAAGACCGACCCAATTAAATTGAATTTATATATTAATTAAATTTACTTTTATCACAATTTATGGTTAAAGAGTGTAACTATCTAACAAAAAGAGGTTATAATAGAAAAGTTGTTAGGACCGGAGGGAGTATGATTTTTAAGATGTTACTTTTTAGTTATTTAAAAAATTATAATAAGTCAACAACAATCTAGTCGAATTCTACGATAGTGGTATCTTGCGAGGGTGTGTGTACGCACACATTGCTCTTACTTGAAAATAAAGAAATTGATTCCGAGAAACCGCACGATCACTCAACACAATATCACATTAGACACGCTAGTATCATACCTGTGCGTTGCACGGGTCATTTTATGTTATTAAATTCAAATTATTTTTCAATGTTAAAAAATGAGATGCAATAGAATATAGAGATTATAATATTTTAAGGTACAAAATATTGTTGTTTTACAAATTTTGAAAGACTTCTTTATAAACTACATTATTTGTACAATTTGTGGAAATATATATTCTTCATTGCATATTAGAATCTTCAACCCACTATAATTAGTTATTCTTAAAACTGCAACATAGAGTTGTCCATGACTAAAACGTGTTGGATTATTGTTACAGAAACATGTGATAAACCCTAACTACTCGTAGTTTCATCATTAACATTGATGACCTCTCATTAACATTTTTCAAAGCAGTTAGGATCCCCATTTTCATAGGAATGACAATTTTGAAACGTAGGGAAAAATTCACGATGAGTGTAGTGGCTACGGAAGATTTGTAAATAGATGTATTTATAATATGAATTTTGCATACGGGGTTAAAAAAATTTGTGTATAAGATATTATTTCACATTTTGTTTATTTGTGTATTTTCATTAATTATTCAATAAAATAAGATATTTTTTCACATTTTGTTTAATAAAATTTTTTACTTAGGTTTTTAATAGGTAAATTTTATCAATTATTCTCATAACAATTTTTAAATAAACTGGTTCTAAAAATGCGGAATTTTGTCCCATAAATAAGAAATTATAATCCAATTTAGGATTGAAGGAATATATAGATATTACAATGCTTAGAAAAATATTTTAATAGTTGTATCTATTTTGTATCTCAAAAAAATACGTTTATGTTGCATAAATACTCTATTGAAATCAATGAAGTTTAACACTTGAAGAAGTTAGATTAAAAAAGTAATATTTATGATTTTTAAATTTCCTAAGAAAAAATTTATATTTTCAATTTTTTTTGAAGGATTATATTTTTTAATATATTTATATAAAATTTAAAAAAATATAAATATTACTTTTTGAATTCTAATTTTTTCAATTACTACACTTTGTTTATTATTTATATAGTATTTATGCAACGTAAATATATTTTCTTGTGATACAAATTAGATACAACCAACAAAAAGATGAATTTTTATGAATAAATATGTATATTTGAGTTTGTTATGATATATCTGTAAAATTTATAAAAAGAATATGAAGTATTATGTTGTATATCAATAAGATAAATATATTTCTATAAGATAAATATATTTTTAAAGAATAAAAATATTCTTTTTATAAATTCTTTTTATAAAGAAAAAGGAAAGTTATAGTGATAGGTTATATATGTGTTGTTACCTTATGTTTGCATTTTTGTGAAAAGCACACATTTTGTGACCCAAGAAGACAAATCTCACACAAGTGATATGATTCTATGCATAGTTTTCAGAATCGAACCGGTGCTTAAACCGATCAAGCTAAGATACTCAGTCACTGATCAAACCAGAAGTTTAGACATATTTAAAAAAATTACTCGAGTATACACACACACATACTACTTTGTATATAATAAAAACAATACTCATTTCGTCTGTATATAAAAATTTATGATGTTGTATTGAAGTTATTATAATCAATTTAATTTGATTGTTTAGTAGATCTAGATTTTAAAATAAAATTTACAATTGTAAAAAGTACATTAAAAAAAAACTGCTTCGATCGGTTCGGGCCGGTTCATTGCTTGTAGTGGTCTAATTAATGGACTGGATTGGAGTTCACCAAAATAAGGTAGGAAGAATATCTAATGTAAGCTTTGCCTAAAGGGAAAGCAATGGTGATGGCCCAACAGGTGGGATTCATCTCATTCTCCTCCCCCATCTCTTCTGCACTTCATAATCCTCGTTCCAGATTCTCCTCTTTCCAGCAACAAAGGCCCTGTCTTGCCGGTAAATTGCTTCAACTTCCATTTCTTCTCGTAAATATTACTCCCGACAAAAAAAAAGATCTTGTTAATGATTCAGGTTAGAGTTGGTCACTCAACAAGTACAAACACTAGACCTGGCAAAAAATGACCCGACCTGTTTTTGACCCGAGACTCGACCCGAAAATACTGGGTTTTGAACAAAGGTTTTGCTGACCGAACCCGAAATGACCCGCTAAAAATGGGTCAAACCCGACCGAACCCGAACCCGACCTGACCGACCCACTAATCTAAGATTTTTTCAGAATCATACATTTTAATATGAAATATAGTGTTATAAAAATAAGATTATGATTATATTTCTTTGCTTACTACTCATTTTTTGTGTATAAATTTATAGCATCATAACAAATTCTAATGATGTCGCATACTTATCTTACATTTTTTCAAAATTTCTACATATTNCTAATCTAAGATTTTTTCAGAATCATACATTTTAATATGAAATATAGTGTTATAAAAATAAGATTATGATTATATTTCTTTGCTTACTACTCATTTTTTGTGTATAAATTTATAGCATCATAACAAATTCTAATGATGTCGCATACTTATCTTACATTTTTTCAAAATTTCTACATATTTAATTTTTTTTATTCGTAATATTGACACTAAGTCATAAAAATTACTTAAAATTTCAAAAAAATAAATGAAACTCATAACCCGTTGGGTCAACCCGAACCCGATGACACTGGGTCATGAACATGTAGTTATCAACCCGAACCCGAACTTAATCGAACCCGAAGTAACCCGAACCCAAGGTGACCGAACCCGAACCCGACCTGACCGACCAATTTGCCAGGTCTAACAAACACCACTGAAGATCGTATTAACAATTTTGTCATCAATGGAGGAGAATCTTGGAAAGTGGACTGGACAGAGGGAGTAATTTTAACTGAAATTAGTGAAAAAAATACCATTTTTTACCCTTTTTTCTTGTGGGAGGAAAGGATTACTTTTTCTTGTGATCAGCTAAGAATTTGTGTGATGACTTCCAGTAACTTTTGTGAGTTCGTAAGTTTGATATTCTTCAAAAGACCTTGACATGTAGTGGTAACACCGTGGTTTTCCTAAATGGGAGGTCACACTTTCGAATCCCAGTAGAGGCTATGTTGACTCTTTGTTCATCAATAGGTCGAGAAAATACATTTGAAGATACTACATTGCAATTGAGTTAATAGTGCTTAAAAAGTTTGGTATTCTTGAAAATTGAGGCATATTCTGAAAATTTTGCAGTGTTTGAGGTAAAAATCATTTGGTCAAGTTGGAAAGGGTTTAGCTTTAAAATAATAAAGAGACAAAGGCAAAAAAGAAAAGGGCAATATACAACGTTTCGTATAGCAAGTGGATTTTATCATGGAATTCCTGTTAGAGGCGTCTTGATTCGATTGGTTGTGGGTTGTGACAGTTGCCGCAATGAGCAATGATCCTATTCGTGAGTGGATCGTCACAGAAGGAAATGCTACAAAGATTAAAGGAATCAGGTCAATTGGTGGCGGGTGCATTAATAATGCTAGCTGCTATGACACTGATGCTGGCCCTTTCTTTGTGAAAACAAACAGGTATTTTTGGAACAGGTTAAAGATAACCTCTATCATTGTTTCTGTGTCTATCATATACTTCTTACGTAATTTGAATGGGTTTTTTTTAGGGAAAAATTTGAATGATCTATAGCATTGAGATGTAACGAATTCTTGTAAATCTTGCAGGAGCATGGGACCTTCAATGTTTGAAGGAGAGGCTGTGGGTTTAACTGCCATGTTTGAAACCAGCTCAATCCGGGTCCCTAAACCATATAAGGTAGGTCCATGGCTCCCTTCAAGTCCTGCTTCACGCTCACCCATTTGACACTCTAAGGGACTATTAGATGGATGGTTTTGGAGGGGATGTCTTTTGAGGACTTCATCTATATCATAAATGATGAAACATTTCAGTTCTTATGAGATTTCAAGAAGTTGTTTTGACTTTTGTGTGATAGGTTGGATCTCTACCAACAGGTGGCTCATACATCATAATGGAATTTATTGAGTTTGGTGCGTATAAGCGTGATCAGGTGTGTGGGATCTTTATATAGCGGTGCCATATACTTGATTGTAATTTTTTAATTTTCCATCCATTAACAACGTCCGTTGCCACTCAGTCTGCATTAGGAAGGAAGCTAGCTGAAATGCATAAATCAGCCAAGTCCAATATGGGGTTTGGTTTTCATGTTGATAATACTATTGGAAGGTATCATTTATAGAACACTCCACACTCACTCACACCATCTCCTCTTTTAGTGGCACCAAGAAAGGCACTATAATGTTTTTGTATGTTTGCCTATAAACACTTTGTAATTTGAATAAACTTTAGCGGTCATTTTGTAAATTCACGAAATCTCAGGGGAGGTAAATGTCCATTACCCATGTTAATATTCCAACTGACGCTTGACCCTATTCCTAATGAATGTATTTTGAATCTGTTATAGTACTCCGCAGATAAACACATGGACACAAGATTGGGTAGACTTTTATGCAGAGCATAGAATTGGTTTCCAGTTACGGTTGGCACTTGACCGGTATGGAGATTCAAGCATTTACAAGGAAGGTTTTATCTGAATCCTTTCTCTCGAATTCATAGCACGTGTGATAAAGCGATGCTAACATGTTTATTTACGTGGACTTGTTCACACTAAAGGACAAAAGCTGGTAAAGAATCTAAGGCTTCTGTTTCAGAATGTTGTGATGGAGCCATGCTTGCTTCATGGAGATTTATGGAGTGGGAATATCACTTATGACAAGAATGGGGAACCAGTGATTCTTGACCCAGCATGTTATTGTAAGCCCTTGAGATGTTTGCATTGTTAGTCCTAACTGTCCTTAGTGAACTATGCCTACAAACTATGAACACCTCAATAATTAAAAGATAAACTTTATATGCTAAACTGGTCCCGATAGTTTTTTGCCAAAGCAACCAAATGAGAACAGTTTTATTTCAAAGATTTGAAAAAAAAATAATGGAAAAAAGAAATTTGAAAATGGGAGCAAAAATGCTACTGGTACATTTAAAGAGTAGAAATTTATCACTCCATTCTTGGTGTCTCTTAGATGGACATAACGAGGCAGAGTTTGGAATGTCATGGTGTGCTGGTTTTGGGCCCGCGTTTTACAACGCCTACTTTGAGGTACTCTTCTTCCACTTTCTTTTTCACATCATCTGATCATAACTGAGTGTGAGGTTTATAATATAGACAAAATGACAATGGAACAATGGATCAACATTTCTTTATAGCACAATCTAGAGTTCTTGAAAGTAGATCTTTGGTCATAAAAATTAAAGTGCCTCGTAGTTGTCTCTTTCTTCACTAGTTTTGTTTTTCGTAGCGAGTGATTACTCGCACCTGAAATCTTTCATTGGACTTTTGATTCATTAGGTCATGCCAAAACAGCCAGGTTTTGAGGACAGGAGGGATCTTTATATGTTGTATCATTACTTGAATCACTATAACATGTTTGGTTCTGGCTACCGGTCATCCGCCTTGTCCATAATAGATAAATATCTCCGGATGCTAAACTTATAGTCTGTCAACAAAGTGTCTTGTCTCTAGTATATCATACAGAGTATATATGTCACTTTTTGTAATGTTAAATCTCAATGCAATGCTATGGTGTACTGTACTTCCATTTTTGCTATGTCCCATAATATGTCTATTCATAATAGGTATACCTTTAAAATACCCATTTTTAGACTATTGGTCAATAATGGGACTTGTGCTCTATTTCTTGAAAGAGGTCCAGCAGTTGAGAACTTGAGATTCATACATACATATTCTTTGGGAAATGCGGTTGTTTATAGATATGGGTTTCATTTTTTGACAACTTCTGGGCAATTACAATTTACTAATAAGAATAAGTAATAAGCAAAAAAACAAGTCCTACGGAACGGACCCTAAGTTCTATTCTTTCATCATCAGTTCATGCAGCTGTACAAAGTCTGCTAGAGCGAGCTCTTCAGGTCTCGACTGCACAAGAACATCATCTTTTATTATCATGCATATAATAGAACTGCAGAAGTAATAATGCAAGTAAAATGTGGTTATAATACTTACTGTAGATGGAAGACCAATACTGCTAAGAGCTTCTTCTATCTCATGGGATGGGCGAATGTGCCGAAGTGATTTGCGCAACATCTTGCGTTTTCCATTGAAAGCAGAGTTAACCTTACATGACAAAAAAAATTGTCAGCTGTATCTTCAACGATTTTATTCGTAGTTACTAAAACTCAAATCCAAGGGTCGCTTTGGAAGCTGGAAATAAAATAGCGAGGAAAGTAGAGGGGAAATCTAGAATGGAAGAAAATATTGGGGGGGGGGGGGGAATT